AATCTTTACATCCTATACTTATTATGAAGAAATTGAAATCTAACGACATTTCTTCAAAATGTCAAAAGTGATGTAGCAGTTTAATTTTATTTCTTTTTAGTACAAAATGCTGAATAGCTAACATGAAAGCAGCTGACAACGTTAAACACAAACTTTCAGAGCTTTTATGCTTCTGACAGCTTGTCACAACCTCCTGGCTGTTACCCCTTTTTTCTTCTAGAATTCAAAGCTAGCTCCAAAACCAAGGTAACCCAAACTCACAGCTCTTTGTGTATTGAGGCTTTTCCCTCAGGATAAGGGATGCGACATAGCAGGTACAACCCAAACACTGTTTAGGCTACTTCACACAGATTTGGCAAGGTGCCCTGTAATATATTACCTCAACACTGAAACAGAGCTACTCTATCATTTCCTTAAAACATAACTGCACAGAGAAAATAAGGTCCAAAGTGCATTCTTGTTCCCTTTCAGACAAAGTATCACAAAATGCGTAAATATGACAAGAAAATTTATCTCTGAGCAAAGAAAAAAGCTGTTTTCTGAAACTGAATTTAAGGCCTCCTGGATAGCTTGCAGCAAGATACTTGTCCTTCTCAATTTAATGTCTGCAAGACTGGAATAACTGTACTTATTTCATAGGGGTGTTAAAAGAATTAATTGCTTGTGTTTGCACAACTACTTTGAAGATGAAAGTTGCTATTTTAAGAGCTAAGTGTCAATTCGTATAAGTAAGCACAAACTAAACACGTGCACAAACCCAAAACAAGACTATCCTCTCTCCGTGTACAGCTGAGCACAGGATCTGAAAATACCATTCTTTCATCCATTACCACATCTCCAAAGAAAACAAGTTCTTAGTAGTCCTTACTGCCTCAAATCGTATTTGCCACTCATTGATCCTGTGACTTTATTTCCCAGCTTGTAAGATGTGCGTACTATACTCGTAACACAAATACGAATATTTAAAATTCGGGTTATTGGTGAAGGTGGACTGACACAAATGACACAAAGCCTGACACGACCAGGCTTTCCAGGTGTAGTTGCTTTAAGTCCCTTAATGAAAGCTGTCTTCTGTTTTAAAGTACTGCTCCAACTCACAGTGATTTCACATACTCCATAAACGTTTCAAGGATAAAATGAAAGAAATCATTATGGACATTTCTTTGTGCATATTAATTTATTTCTAGTTTCAATATATGGTAAAGGGGCCAAAAGCTCTGAAGATACCTTACTAAACCTGAAGAAGGAAGTGGTTCAAACTCCTTTTCCATTTTATAATACTTTTGTTGGTCAGACTTTTGTTTCCCTGCACTCATACTCATGTCCATCTCCAAATGATGACTCAGTCGCTTCTCATCTCTACAAAGTTTATCTTTTCCTTTCTTTTCTCAGTCATTAACAAGGGAATAGAAGTTACCCTGTCATACAAGAAACACTCATTACCCAGATACTGGATTACTCTCCTCCTCCATCTTCTCAGTTGAAAGAGCCAAAAACTAAGACATAACTGCATAAGTAAGATCTACAGTATTCAGGCAAAATTAAGATGGTAACATTTCTCACAGTTTTGCAATGCTCTTTTTTGGAAGAATGCAGATAAACATAACCTTGGGGAATAACTACCAATTTGTCAGAATATCAAAGGTCAAAAGCATTTTCATGTGTAGAAGTAAGTTAGAAGCTTTCAGTCTCAAACTCCAGCAGTTTATAACTTCAGTTGCAATTTAACTGCAAAAAAAGGTAATTTCTTCTGTTATAAGAAGATGTATTTTAAAAATGTATTAGTTCTACATGCAATAGCTAGCAGTCTTGACTTCTTCTTGCCAGAAGTGATTAGGGTTTTTTATTCTCTGATTTTAGTTGTCACTTTTTATTTTAGAGATAGTTCAGAAAACTGTCATTTCTGAATTTGTGGGTCCTCTATTCTGTCAGCAGTCACTAACCCTGCATATTTCTAATGAAGTGAAACAGCTATTTATCTACTCTGTAAAATATTTCACATTCAGTATATACACCTTTAACATCATGTACTGAAATCCAATACTGTTCAATTGAAAAGGCTTTTCCAGCACAGAAATCCACTTTCAATGTTTTGCCAAGTGACAGACGCAGATAAATGTGACAGAACTGCTTGTTTTTTCACAGTTAATGGGATACATTTTGTATTCTGCTGAAAAAGGGGTGAGTGAACAGCAGAAGGGAAGGTTGCTTTCACCTGGTGCCCTGGCTGCTGTGCTCCAGGACAAGAGACGCATTTCAGAGGGAGGAAGACAACCTTTTTCCTCCCCAGCATTTGAGCATGTTAATCTCAAGGGAAGTCCAGGAAAACATGACAGTGTGGGCAGAAATATTTCTATTTCATCTCACTTACCAGACCTGACGGTTCTCTATTTTAAAAATTATACAGATCTAGTTTATTAGCTTGTATTCTATTAAGCACTTTTTCCTATGACTGGGAGGCAAGGAGGGGTGCTGCACTTTATGGGAGAGAATCCAGTGAACAGCCAAGGAAAGGGAAATTTTTTATACACAAAGAGGGTGAGAGAGCTAGGACTGCTCAGCCTGGAGAAGGCTCAGAGGAAATGTTATTAATGTGTTTAAATACTGGATGGGAGGCATCCGGTATTTATGCATATTGAAGCAGCAGCAGTCAGACTTCTCAGTGGGCCAAGGAGCACTTACAAGACAAGAGGAAATAGGCACAAATTAAAAACAGAATATTCCCTCTGAGCTCAAGAAAATACGTTTTTACTGTGAGAGCAGTGAAACACTGGCACAGGCTGGCCAGAGCGGTTGGGGAATCCCTATCCATAGAGACACCCAAAACTGGACAGGATCCTGGGCAACACTCTCTCTGACCCTGCTTGAGCAGGGGGGTTTAACTAAACAACCTCAGGAGATCCTCACCAACCTCATTGACTCTGCAATTCTTTCTTTCTTCTTTCTTCTTATCCCTTGAAATTCAGTTCTCTGATATGAACTCTGACTTAGTAAATTTTTTCCTGCTGAAGGCCTTGCTTATATTCAACAGCTCACATTCCTACAGAAATCACTTGGGTCTTCCTTCTAATCAAATTATTAAATGCTCTCAGACAATGTATTTGAAATGGCCTTAGCTCATTAAGTCCTGCTACAATTTAATTTAAGAGCATGCCATGAATATTAAAATCAAGAAACACACTGCTCTGAGCTGGGCTCTTGTTCTTTTTTTGAAAAATCTCTCAAACACAGTTTTACCTCAACATACTATGAGTTCAATTACATCCACATGCTTGTTTTAGGAACTCTCATTGATACTTTTGATACTTGGGATACCCTGAGATTAGCTCAGTTTGTCAGAGCATGGTGCTAATAACAACAAGGTTGTGGGTTTGATCGCAGTATGGGCCATTCGCTTAAGAATTGGACTCACTGATCCTTGTGGGTCTCTTTCAACTCAGAATATTCTGTGAAGGTCTGTGAAGGTTCTATGTCTGAACGAATGCGGTAACATGGAACTCTTGCACTAAATATTATGCACTAAATGCCAAAGTTGTAGGCAATTTTACATATATCTATGTATCTGCCAGCCCCCGTGCCGTGTGTGGCGGAGGTCTGGGGACCCCGGCCCCCAGGCGTGACCATGGTCGGCCCCCACCCTAGCCCCCGGCGGGGGAAAGGAGAGAAAGAGGGGGAGCCTGGCCATGATGATGATGATGATGTATCTGCATAAACATAGACAGATAAAATCACATACAGTAATACTGCTTATTGACAGTTCAGTAGTTAGTCAAAGACATTATTTGATCTTTTAATCTTTTTCAGAATATTGTTCGTTTTGCATCACTCAGGCCTGCTTTTGCCTAAAGACATTAGGATCATAGAGAACTGAGCAAAATATAAGTCTCATCTCTCGAATTAATCAGTTAATTAGCAGATTAAATCAAGATTACATAAAAAATGGCACTATCTTCCAGTACTTTTTCAGTATTTATCTAAGATTGGGGCGGGGAATGTCCCAGTCTTATGGACATTTAGGGCTATTTAAGGACATTAGGCATTTTAAGCCTCCTCAACTGTTTTAATTACATAATAGATAGACGAACTAAATAGTTTCCCACTTTTATTCTAATCTTATATATCTGCTATCTGACCCATCTCGGCAGAACCTTAGAAGGTTTTTCTTCAGAGAGAGAGAGACAGAGAGACAGAGAAACCACAGACTCAAAATGATCCACAGAAAATACAACAAGTATTCTTGGAAGGGAGTAAAGGAGGGAAGAAAGGCGGGAGCTGCTGTAATACATTTCCTTAGTTCAAATAGCAATAATGTGTGTAAGAAGCAAAATCCTAATCTTTTCTTGTAACAGTAAAATTTAAAAATACATGAATCCATAGTTATAAAGAGATACATTTGATCAAGCCTTAATCCAGAATTCAACTGGGATTTTTGCAAAGTTGGGATTTTTGCAAAGTTACACATAGATTGGTACTCTGATTCTTTCATTGCAGTCTAAGTACCTAATCCTCCTCCAGTGAAATAAACAGGAGGCACTCCAAAGTAATCACTAGAAGTTGAATGACATCCATACAGAACAATATTAAAGACCAAGGAGTCTACTCTGCTGCAGATTGTTTGTTTTTAATTACACAAAATTTATGTGGAAAAAACTTAAGTTAAGCCTTAAATAGCAAATTTTCTGTCAAAACCGTCACAGATGCAAACAATATAAAATCCACCCAGAAAAAATACGGATGCAACCCTTTTTTTAAACACAGATATCAAAAAATACCTTTTTTCCTATATAGCTTTTCAAAATGCTGTGTTCTAAATGTATCCTGAAGTCACTTCTCAGACCACTTCAAAAAATATTCCTCCTGCTTGAATTTTTATTTTCATGCTTGATCCTGCCTATTTAAACATTCATGGAAAGAAATAACAGTTCTACCTGCAGAGTCAGAAAACAAGTCTGAAAATCTCTCCTCACTGTATTTTATTAACAGTATTTTAAAACACTCACCAGTTTGCCACCAGTGGTCCAAGACAGGTACCTTGAAAACTTCTTTTGACCATTTTAGCGTGTCCACATCACAGTGCTCGCCAGCTACAAATAATGTTCTGAACCTTTAAATAAAAATAATTAAAGTATATATCTTGATCTGGATGTGCAAAGAAAAACAAGATAACAGATAAAATAAATGCCTCTGGTCACCGTTCCAGATAAAGGGAAAAGATGAAGGGGGGCTCTTAGTCTTGGTACGCTCCTTCCTTCTACGTAACGATTAGAATATTTGCAGTATTAATTTATGCTACTTAATACTTCATCATGTAAAAGAAGCTTTATGTTCTGAATGCGAAGACATTGGGAGACCAGAAGCAAACAACTGTCAGTCAAAATAAAATATAATCAAATGTACGTAGGAACTAGGTAGATATCCATTAGGCAACACACAGGAATGAAATAGCAAAAGAGTCAGAAAGATTTATCAAAAAAAGCAGTAAAGAAATACACAGAACTAAAAGGAAATACCTGTAGCATAACTCTTAGTTTTACATTGTTAATAATGTTCCATTTCAACATATTTTAGTATTTTTTGAACTGTTGAGTCATCTTTTTATAGGCATTTGGAAATGAGTTGTGGGGGAAACAACAGGATAAAGCCATTTTCTTGTGGTGAAGCAGGTTATATATACATAAATAAAAAAAAAATAAACTAATCCTACTAGCTAATGATAATCAGAGAAGCACTCAGCACCAGACTTCAACTCATTTGACTGAACCTTCCACAGTCGACTCTGGCAAAGAAGAGACGCAATGCCTGGCAGTCCTGACAGATGGGTTCTGCATGTTTGCACCACCAGAATTGTCTTCCTAGAGAGATGGTGGATGCCCTGCACCTGTCAGTGTTTAAGAGGCATTTCGACAACGTCCTTAGTAAAATGTCTCAGCTTCTGGTCAGCCTTTAGGTGGTCAGGCAGCTGGAGCAGATTAGCGCTACAGGGCCCGTCAAACTGAAGCACTCTGTTCTATAGTCATGGATACTCGTGGCGCTGGCCAGACACCACCACCCAATAAGAAGATACTAAAGATAAGAATCATTTATGATCTTGTCCTTACAACGCCGAGAAAGAAATAAGCAATCCTCTTCACATAAAACACAGAACTTTTAATTCGTGTTCATGATGTAGAGATGAAATGCCCAGCCAAGTATAATCAGATAAACTGCTGATTTATATTCAATACTTTCTCATTAGTACATTCCTAGTTTTGTTGTCTGTATTGTTGACAGCAAGATTTCCACAGGGAGCATGTTATTTGTCTAATTGGCTCTTACTATCCAAAAAATATATCAATGCTGAACTAGTTTTCTGGGCATTCTCTACAGTTCACAAAGAATAAGAGGCAACTTTAGAGAGTAATTTATCTTTACGAGACTCAAAAGGGTACGGTTTACTTTATACCTAACAAAAACCAATGAAAACCAAAATGAAACAAAATCTATGGCCCTTGAGCAACACTGACACATGACTAAGACACAGGATAGAGACTTGGTTAAGCTACTGTTTAAAACAATAGCAATAGATATAGCTATTAAATTATTGCATTATTACTTCAGATGAATTTTCCTGCAACTCAGAAAAAGGATATTAGGAATGTCTTAAAGTTTTGGATATTGCTATTTTGCTGCACACTTCAATGTGTTCCTATTTAAGCAAGATTTTGAAACAGAAATAATCTATTTGGGAAGTAATATCTAAACCAGAGGGAAATCAAAGACATAACTTCTCTTTTCATTTTACAGATAAATCACAACAGACTGTACCTCCTTCCCTGGAAGACTGGGATGGCAATCTGAAACACTTCAACCACATTAACACCTGTTTGTAACCACCAATTGCAATCCTGCCACGAGGTATAATGTGAATCCTGACTGCAGAACTGCCTTGCACACACCCAACTGCGACAGGCCAAAGAACTTGCTTCCTTTCTGTAGTATCCACACAGGGTGGGGGCTCATGCCTTCCCTCTCCCAAATTCTCCCTATATGGCATATGACCAAAAAAGACAAGAGGCAAACATAGATTCAGACTCCACATCAGAACTCTGTTTACTAGCAAGGGACCTCTTTCTTCAAGTGTACAGGTATACACACTCTACAAGCAACTAAACGTTTCACAAACACAGGAGAAACTGTAGAGACACTCTACCAAGTACTGCATCAATCCCCCTTAGACTTCCAAGATGACAGAATGTTTAATTATATGAACAGAGCTTCATGTGACCCAATATCAGACCCCGGCATTAAAAATACTTCTCCAAAACGTTCCCTTATTAGGATTGCAGCACCCTCTCCCACTGCCAGATCAATGTCACTGACATTTTGTTTCACTTCAAGTCTTCCCTCTGTCCATTTGGAATGAAGACAACTGCTGAACAAAAGACCTGGTTCCTGTCCTTCAGAAGTGGACACAATTTGCACTGATTTTGTAAAACCTGTAGACTTGGGGCCACAAAGGCAGGGAATTCTTAGATATTGTGGGCATGGAACAAATTTCCCTTCAGATTCATGTAATTTAGAGAGAAAACTATGAGATTCATCTTTCCATGGAAATGAAATCCAGAAAGCAGAGTAGGAAATTATGAGAAAAATCAGAGCACGTAACCCAAAGGTGTCAGAAATGAGAAAGAGAAATGCAGAGCTCAGCCTATCTGACCATAGAACTGGGAGTACCTCTAAGAGGGAAATTACAGATTTCCCTATAGAGACCACAGACATCCCATAACAAGGCTGCCCAAACCAAAGAGCATACTTTAAATATTCACACTCCATTCTCCAACAGAGGACAGACATATGCTGATAGCATAAAATGCAGCCCTTCACAGGGTAAGGACTAGCAACCTACTCACTGTGTAGATGCAAGGCAGGAGAATGTACAGATTAAAGCAACATCTGGAAAAAGCGTAAATAAAACCTGTGATGAAACATTGTAAGTGTAAGAAGCCATGTGCCCTAAAACTGTGATAGTGACACTTGGCCTAGACATGAAAAATTTGACGACTTTATTGTCTTTCAGATCCATTTACAGATCCATAATCAGAGGAAAAAAACTTCCACAAGCAAAAGATTAGAACTAATCACCAACATAGGGACCCCTACACCATCTAGACATAAAAACCTGAGAACGCTCTTACCTGTCGCAGAAACAATCGCAGCCATATTAATAACTTCAGCCATAATAACCATAATCATAATTTCAATATAGATAAGTCAACTTACTGCACATCCAGTTACAAACTTAGGAAAGTCAGAAGATTCTGAAAAATATTACCATATTGAACTTGAACATGTAGATGAAAGAATTCAACTTAATTTCAGAACAAGATTTTGGCCAACCCTCCTTTCTGACACTCCAAGAGGGCTTGGAGTGTTTTCTTACTTGGAATCGAAGGCAGGAGCTCAAATGCATAAGCAGCTATCACATCAAATAAGCAAATTTTTCTGTACTCATAAATACTCAACATCATTTTGGTAAACTGCTTTCCGAGCACACTGGAAGATACTGATTGTAATGAGTGTGACCCTAATCAATATCTTGCACCTGAATGCTTTTAATTGTAAAGCACAAGCCATTGCTGATGGTCAATAGCTATTATAGTCAATAGCTAACTAAAATTCTAACAAAAATAAAAGTTCATGGTAGAAAAAAACCAAAACATTGTTTAAGTAATAACCATAAATATGTATTTTATGAGACTTTTTTAAGACTCATGTTCATATGGAGGGTACTTCCATCAAGCAGTGTATGTAAATTCTGCTCGATTTACTTTATATGGAAAATTCCATCCTTAGGCATGTTAAAAACAACATTCCAGATATGATTTAAAAATTAAATTAATGAATGCATTAACTTCATAAAACAATGAAAAATTCTGTTAAGTGTCCTTGTTTTAAAACAGGGCTATTAAAACAGCAGAAACTTGATGAAAAAGTTAAGATACCTTCTTATCCCCTGAGCCAAAAGCAGAATACCTCTTTTCTGAACTACCAGCTCTAATAATCACATCTAACAATCTGCAGGTCAAGATCAACTCTGTGTTGTGAAAAGAAGAAAAATTAGCTCTTCGGCAAATTTACAGCACAAAACCATCAAAAAGAGTATCAGAGCAAAGTGCCACAAGCCTAACAAAGCACAAGAACTATGGAATTATTTTCTCTATCTAAACAGTATAGCAAAATAAGGAATGGCAATGGTTATAAAATGTCCCACTGAACAATTTTTTAATAGTCCACTTCAACCTTCAAAGCACGTCAGTGCACCTCTTACTGCAATCATCTACCACTGCAATGCAGTTAATTGAGAAGAAAGGTCTTTAAACCTCTCTGTTAAATATGTCCTCAGCTGTTCTGAAAATCTACATTTGTAACGTGAAATTCAGCACACTCAGGCTTTTAGGCCCTGTCCAAGAGTGCAGCAGAGGACAGATCGATGTCCCTAACGATCCTGGTGCAATCTAAATTGTTCAATACAGCATGTACATTTTGGGGTAAGTCTAAGCACAAAAGAAACCACACCTCCAAACCATTTCCCAAAAGCAGGAATATTCACATGAGTAATAATCTGAGCTTCACCTTTCCAAATCAAAAGATCATGGAAGTTTTGGGTTTTTCTAATTCTGGATTGCACATACTAGGTTAAGGTACGTTTTCTGGCAAAAAAACCCTCTATCTGCATCATATTAAACAAGATTTTTTTCCTAAAAAGACAACAATGAAGGTTCATTTGCACTTCTTAACATAGATTGGAAATAAAGAACTCTTACTAAATTTTAATGCACCTGCAGTCTACAGACATATATATATATTTAAGCATGCAAAATATAAAACCAGTATTTTTAGATCCTTCTGATTTTTCTCGATTGATGGGTTTGTTCATTTCCCTCCCTGAATAGATTTTACCTTGGCCACGAGTATCCAAGCACTGGAGGTTTGGGTGACAGAGTCAAGAGGGACACAGAACACAACTGCAGCTTAGCTCCTTCTCACAGTGTGGGTGAGGGAGAGCCTCACAAAGGCTCTTCATGAGCACAGCTCAGGACTCCAACAGGAACAGCCACACATGATCTACAGCAGCACAGAGCAGGGGGCAGCAGGCAGAACTGCATAATGCACTTCAATCGTCCCAAATTCTGTGCCTTAATCACATATCCTCTAGCAGCATGTGTGAAACATCAATTCTATGACAAAATATTTCCTTCTTACAGTTTTGAATTTTCTACTTTAATTTCACATCCTCTTGTTTGTGTGTTATGAGACAGATAATGGGAATTTCTTATCTACTTTATATTCATTATTTCTGCACAGTTTTCACGCAGTCTCATATTTCTTTCAAAAGCAAGTGCATTAATATCTAGTATCAGATGAACAAGCTAGAATCTCTAAATTCTCATGATATAAAATGGCAGACCATTTCTCAACAGATGAAAAGTAAAGAAAGCCAAGTAGACTATGGGACACAAATGGCAAATTGTAACTTCTACGTTAATCTAATCTGCTGATTTGTTGCCCCCATTCCACGCAAAACCATCAGTTGCCAATCACTTGGAAATCAGAGTGAACCAGCTCATAACTATTACATCAATTACAGGACAAAGTGTGATTCTAAATATGGGAAGAGTTAATGGCCTAGTGTTATGAAGCTACCTCAAAAGACGAGAATGGATTCAAAGAGCTGAACAGAACATGCTCAGGTAGATGAGGCTCATGGAATTTGGATGTTACTTGTTTTTCAAACACAATAGGAAGCAGCCTGCTCAGCAGCACAGGATGTTATCAAAAGCTGTGTCTTTAGATCCCCTACAAATATGTGGTTGAACAGGGCCTTTGTCCTACACTATTATAAATTAAACATCTCTTTTACTGCTAAGCATGAGCCATGTTTAAGATACATTTTGTGTCAAAAGCAAAAAAAATTCAAGATTTGATTGCAATAACCACAAGGAATTTAAAGCATACACACTAGAACCTTTAGTAACCTTGCCTATAGTTTTGCGCAGAGGTCAGTGATGCCAGAAACATCAGTTCTTAACAGAAATTTTTTTAACTTATGTCATTTCAAAAGAACACAAATCTGTTTATAACTCAATTTACTCCTGTAAATCAAGTACTCCCTCATATACTGGAAGCTGGCATTGCCTACCAACTCTTTTCCTTAACAGTAACAAACTCTCTTTTTTAACACTTTTTTTTTTTAAGTGATACTGACCTTTTTTTTTTTTTAACACAATTTCTCAGGAATGAAATGTACCATGGTGGAAATCTCTTTCTGGACTGCATTCTTGGATGTGGAGGCTCTAAAGTAAGGATTCACTTTAGCCCAGGTAGCAGAAAGATACCTCATTTCTAAGATTCTTCACCAGAAAGAAGAAAGCATTATAGATCAAGTAAATGAACTAAAAGTAAGACTGATTTCAAAGTGATTTAGACAGAATTCCCTTGATTTTGAATAGAGAAGTCCATCCAAGTAACACCCAAACACTAGTATTTTCCTAGAATGGAAATTTTAATCATCTGCTGGACTTTCTTAACAACTGCACCTACTAGATATTAAATGTTGCATTAGAAGGTTTCATAAAGAGATGCCATGTCCCACTGAACAACATGGTCCAAAGATGAGTGAATTATGAGACAACTAAATTTGCAGACAAATGGAGAAGCTCATTTCATATGCATTGAATAGGAATGATGAAATACCTCTTTATATCTGTGGCAACTGATTTCGACAAGGAGACTTATCTGGAATTCTCATTTGGTCAGAAAACACGATGACTTACAAAGCAGGCTAGCAGATTTCCCATTAAACGAATACTCTAAAGACAGACTAAGTTATTTAAGTAATTGCCTAAAAAATGCCAAAGGACAGCAATTAAATGTTCTAGCATCTCAATCACTTTCTTGTTAATAAACATCATAGAAGAATAGTGCAGTAGTGTCTCAAATCAACTTGTTTCATATTTCAAGGAGGGGTAAGGATTGATGATAGCACTCAAAACAGATGTAAGAAAGTAAGATGAAGTTGTAATGAATACTTCAGGAATAAAATCAGCTTACTAATGATGTCTCAGAGATTTTTTTTGATTTTTAACTTTTATAGATTTTAGAAGTAGATGTGTAGTGAATGTAGATTTTAATGTAGCTGTATTATATTCCTTACCCTGCAGCATAATGTTTACACATACCCAACCCTACTACCCCATTTCACATCAATCCCTCTAAAATTCCATTAGCGTGTTTAGTCTTCTTTTCAAGGCAGAATTGTAGAAAAACACCTTAAGGCCTGGACCAGAAGATATCACACAGACACAGCGACCTTCAAGCCCAGAACTTTGGAGGAACTCCAAGGACTGTACGTGCTGTGAAGAAGATGAAGATGAGGAAGAAGGGGTCCCAAATGCCCCCAGACCCAATTCCCGAAGGGGCGTGTCAGGGGTCAGAACGGGGCAGAACCGGGGGTGGATAGACCTGGGATTGGATGGACCTTATTATAAAATCACAGAATCACTGTCTGAGCACACTCGTGTGGTATGTATTCCTCTACGCCTATGGACTCATTAAAGGACCTGCTCTCTTTATCTTATCTTATACACTACATTGGCCTGAGTCTTCTTCTCCGCAGTCTTTTAGGCAATACTAATCATAAACTTTCCTGAGCAATTAAGAACGTGGAGGTCTAATGAAACTACATGGCTTTGCATCTTCCCCTTCTCTTTGGACAGGGGCAATAATAGATATTCTTGTGACTAAATACTGCCTACACAGTCTGACACAGTCTATTTGATGCTGAGCAATTTATTGAACTTCAAGATTAGATATGGCCCAAATCCACATATTTTCCATTTTTAGAATGTTTACCATAAGATACAGAAACTTGGTCTGTAGAAGTACTAAACACACCCAGATCCAAGTCACTGTGACAAGCATTTTATTAACATAATGCTAATAACACATTTTAACCATACGATGCTAAGAACTATGAAACATGAGTAGGTTCAGTGGCTCAGACTAGATATTCAAAAGTAACAGAAGACTTTGACCTTAATCTCTCTGTGCCTCAGCTTCCCATGTGCAAAATACAGATAATACCACTCTCTCATCTCACAGGGGATTTGTGAGGATGAATTCAGTCATGATTTTGAAGCATGCTGATAGTATACTGATAAACACCTTAAAACCAGTACAAGATAGCAAATAGCTCAGTCTTTGAAGCACATAATCATAAAAAATAACAAAGTTATGGGGAGGACAACCAAAACATTGACTAGCTTCTGATTAAACAAATACTAAAGATCCTGTGCACTCAACAAAATGAGAAGTTATGTGGGAAAACAGTACCGGATCACGTAATCCAATACTGTATTACAGGGTATAAACACAGTGGAGTAAAATTGAGGATGGATGAGAAATCCTAACTCAGTAAAAGCTCTTTATGTTAGAGTCATAGATATTTTAACAGCTTTCATCTCCTCTGACTATCAATATAAATTTATAAGCAAATAAATGTACACCTAAATTTTCAAGAATATATTAAAATGCTGCTCTACAGAGGTGGGCAGATACTCCATTATTCTTAGTTCATCCAGCTTATTTCTGGAAGAAACTGCTTCCAGTGTATCCTTAGTTCACCTTTTCAGAGAGTACTGCTTTCCCAAGGTTGCCTCAGGGTCCTGCTGACGGATTGCTCTAATTGCAGTTGGTGAAGTAAAGAAGGCAGCTACTTCATGCTCTGCTAGCACACGGAAATAGGCACCAGCATCTGGCGTTCCCACAGGCTTCCCCTATGGAGAGAATAATTTAAAATGTCACAGAATAAAAATACATCATAATTCCTTGACAGTTCAAGGCTTGAACACGTAACAGTAGTGGCAGCACAGCAACAGAAGTAATATCAAGTAAGACTTTGAAGAAGGCTTTGTTAAAAATAATAACACTGTGAGTGTATTCACTTGTAGAATTAAATTCACAAGGTTTGGGCACAATCTCTTACATGAACACAACACAGCATATACCAGTTGCTTAGAAAATTAGGACAAATGGACATGCAAATTAAAAGACAGACACATAGAACTGTTATTGCACTGGCAGCAGAGGGAGCCATCGACATATATCCTGACTGAGAAGCAGTCTGGAAAACACCCACCCTTCGAACAAGGAGTCTCTGGACACATTGGTACTGCAGCTATATTCCCATGCACAGGCAGCTTTTTTTTAACTAGAAATTTCTCTCAAATTTGGAAAAATTCCCATTTAGCTGCTTACAACTGGTTTCTTGGAACCTTTGTGCTGCTAGCCCACATGAAGCCTGGAGAGATGCTGAAGAGCCCTTTTCTGTTTTAGTGTGCTACTAAACTGTGGTCTGGTTTGGGGTTATTTGGGGTTTTTTAAACTAAATATTGTCTTGAGCTAAAGGGCATAGTCAAGAGAACTGTAAAATGAAGTAATAATTTATGAAAATTGTTCCATGTAAGTAATCCTAATAAAAAAATAATCAAGAACACTTTTCTGTGGTGCTGAAAATACGAAAAGCAGTCAGCACAGAATTATATAGTCACAATTGTACTGTATGTAGTTAGTGCAGTGCATGAACTGCTCCATACATACTCTGAAATTATTAAAAGGTGATGTTAATGTAGAATGAGTTTTAGCTCTACAGGTATCACCATAACCTTTTCACTAGAAAGGCTGCGCTTAGAAGATGGACAGAACATGCAAGTCAAGAGAGACTGTTCTAGTTAGAATAGCTGGGACCAGCTCATCACTGTGTGGGTGTAACCCAAAACTGTGTATCCTATACCCTTCCATGCCATTTCCCAGAAACTGTTATCAACAGACCATTTACACCATCTGCCCAGAGCGGGCCTGACACCTCAGGCTATAAGCTGTGTGTTAAGAGGCGTGTGAGATAGGAGGATGCTCCTGTCCTCATACGCATTGTGGAACTCCCCGCCCTGAGGGAGGTACTGGGCATTCCTGCCTGAACCTGAGGATATGTAATCTTGGGATCTTGGGACTTCTGCTACTTTTCGTGGGATCCAGAGAAGGACCGAACTTGGACTGGACTGTGACCACCACTCTCAACCAGACTGCAACAGCACTCTCACCAACAGGGTTTACCTCTCCTTTTACTTTTGGACTCAGAGGGACCATGTGGGGCTCAGCATGGGGAGGGCAGCCCAACGAACACCACTCTGTTCATGCCCCAGGGTGCTGGGTTATAAATCTGGGTTTTGTAGGTTAAAACCAATTGTCTGTCTATGTAATTGTATTTATTGTATTGTTTTTATTAAATTGTTATTCTGATTTATAATCTCTTTTGACTTGGGTTCATCTCCCCTGTTGGTTTACCTTTAAACCAGCACAGAGACATACACTTTTCATATTGCAAACACAGTTTTGTCAATGTTTTATGTAAGAAGCCACAAACACAGAGAAAGTTTCACTACTGAAATGTCACTGGTGAACTGCTGAAAGGATGATGACAAATTCATGCCTTCACCATCCTTGTGGAAATGCAAATTTGGAATAGATAGATTAATTGGTCCAGTGGAAAAAAACAGCATATAAAACTCTAATTAATATTTTTGATTTTACCAAGATGCAAAAGGAAGAGAGGCATATGAATATCTTCAAAGAATTTACAAAATTCAGTGATGACGTTGCACAGTAAATGTCTTTATGAAAACACACACTAATCAAGTTAGTTGCCCCATTCCAATAGGCAGCATGTTGACTGTGATGCAGGCTTACAGGAATTCATTCTTTTTCCTCTCTTCCATCTGCACTCCCCACTGCTGTCTTCCCCAGGCTTGCTCTGCATGCCAGTGCCTGGCAAGAGCACCAATGAACCATTAATCAGATTCAAAGAACATAGGATGGCCTAGGTTAGATACCTAGGTTTTGCAGCTTTATGGTGAGATACTGCTGCTGGTGAGAGGTGTGCTCTGAAAGATGCTCACCACAAAAGATTTAAAAAACCAAGACAAAATAGAATGCACAATTGAAAAGTTGGTGGTTTGTGGTTTTTTAAAGGATGGAGCAAGCAGTGAGAAAATAAACAAATGGAGAGAATGGAGAAAAAAATAAACAAAAACCCCCACTTCTCAACCCAAGTAGCAGAGAGGAGTATAACCAATGCCAATTTTTGCAAATAGCCTATCCTAAATTACCAAACAGAAATGCAACATAATGCCATTTGCTCGCTGAAAAAGTGAGTTATGACCTTTATGCTGCCAGATAACACATAGTTCCCAAAGAAGAATCTTTTCCAAGACTATCTTGAGGCATCACCCTAGCAAACTTCTTCATCACAACTTTTGTTTGTTCGTCAGTATTTGTACATGAACCTGTTCATTCAAGTTGACATCCTCTCCCTGTAACGTTCACTATACCTGCAGATCTGTAGCCACCTGCTTAGGAGCTCAAGCCTTAATCAGTAATAACTAAACAGTAATAACTAAAACAAATGGTCTCCGACTCTGAAAAATTCCAAATTTCCACAAACTTCTCATTAACTAATTATGTAATTGCAGTAGTATCAATCATCTTGGACATCAAAAAACCTAGCTGTAGAGCAATCTGAAATTGGTTAGTCTAAACAAATGGAAATATCTAGAGCCCATAAAAGGGCTGTGTCTGACCCCGAGCACACCCACTCCCTCCCAGGTCTCACTTCACACCTGATCCCTCTCCAAGCTACATCACAGACATGCCTATGCCTCATACTTCCAGCAAGCCTGAGCCAAAGAGCATCTTCCACACAAGCAGCTAAACCTTCAGTAGTGCATGGATAGGCATGCAGGACTCTGACAGGTTGATATTTATGTCATAGGTAAGCTACAGCAATACCACTGGCACTGTTCTCGGACAGTGTTGAGATGTGACCTGTCTGGCTGCTTGCCTGTGGTACAGGCTTCCTTATGCTGCTATAGAAATAGCTTTGTCTTTTCCTTTGGTCTTGCTGAAATTCTAAAATATAAGAAATAAGCTCTAAAGTTATTAAGTGCAATAATCTGAAACAGAATCATAGAATCATAGAATGATTTTGGTTGAAAGGGCCCTTAAAGATCACTTAGTTCCAACCCCCTTGCCATGGGCAGGGACACCTTCCACTACACCAGGTTGCTCAAAGACCCATCCAGCCTGTCCTTGAACACTTCCAGGGATGGGGCACCCACAACTTCTTTGGCAATCTGTGCTGGCGCTTCACCACCCTCACAGTAAATTATTTCTTCCTAATATCTAATCTAAACCTATCCTCTTTCATTTAAAGCTATGCCCTCTTGTTCTATCACTGATATATGGAATCAGGGGCAGATCCTTACAGAAGAAAAAAAAGGGATTAATGCTTGTCCAGACTGAGACCCATCATTACATTCCCCACAATCTGTGGGTTGTCTGACCAACCCAGAGGGTCTGCCTATGTTACAGAAAACTGAAGCTGTGTGAACTCTGCATGGTGTTCTTCCCCTAATAAGCCATTAATGCTCCTGGTTATGTCTGGTATGTGCTGAATAATTTGGCTTACAATTAAATAATTCTGTAGACTTCTTTGCTTTGCTACTTTAAATATTCCAGCTGAAGCAACTGAAATTTTAGATGCCTTGTATGATGCTGATTTCTTAGCCTGAATGATCAAATACACAGCTGAATGAAACAGAACAGCTCTCAGCAAGAGTATAAGTAAGGCTCTGGTTTACCTCTGGGTCATTAGCAAGATGCCTTATTCACTCTGCCATTGCCCTACTTCATTGCAACATTGTGAAGGTTGTTTTCATCAGACCTTATGAAATTATGGATTTGGTCTGATTGTTCAGTCTGGCAGCCAGTCTAGACAAGGGGTCTGTCCCAGTTAGACGTGACCAATTACCTTATGAGAGGAAATGGAAGACGAATACTGGTATTGTATTTCCTAATCCTCTCACTGTCTCCCAGTCCTGCCTCTCCCACATTCCTTCTAGTTGCTCAGCTGCAATGGTAGGTTGGACAGTGTTCAGTACTGCTCCTGCCTCTTCAGACACAGCAGCTGTTCTACAACCTCCTACTGAGTTATCAGCCTTGAATGGCATCAGGCGTATTTTCCCTTTCCTTCTTGGAGCCCAAACACCCTAACAGCCACCATTCTTGCACTGCCTCTCTGCCACATGAGAGGAGCCCCAAAGAGAAGATACAAGGACTCCCTGAAACAACATCTCAGCCTTGGCCATATTGATCTTCATCACTGGTCTACTCTGGCCTCCAATCGGGAGGTCTGGAGACACACCATCTATAACGCTGCTGATGCTTTTGAGAAAGCACACAGGATCACTCTCGAGGAGAAAAGACAATGCAGAAAGAATTGTGTCTTGCAGAATATACCACCTAAGGAGTCTTTCTGCTGTGCCTTTTGCAACTGGACGTGCCTATCTCGTATTGGCCTTTTTAGCCACCAACGCGCTTGTAACAAACGTGGGTAGAGCCCTTCCCAAATCTTCGTTCGCGAAGTCCAGCCATGATGAAGCTACAGTAGCTTAGGTTTGGAGTTACCAGTCTTGGATCTAGAAGAAAACCAGATAAAACACAAACAGTAGGAGGAACAGAAAATTCACCTAACAATTGATAGGAAATAATACCTAAAGACTAATTCAACACTTAAGATATTCATTTAGGGAAAAAAAATCTGGTCCAGCTGTAAAATATTCTTACTAATTCCGCAGAAAAAGTTCCCTGGTGCCTCAGCAGCTGTTCACAGTTTAGCAAATGCATAAACAAAAACTGACATAAGTAAACTAAATCTGAGACA